AGTTCTCTCAGGTTTTCCAATGGTTCTCTGACCAATGTCAGTTGTTGATGAAATCCTAAATCAAATTAAATCCCTGCTTCGGTGGCACGGCGGTTAGGACACTCGCCAACGCATACCTGATATCAATGGTCAGCCTGTTAAATTTGGGTTACCGATATCACATGCTGAAAATTCCATATTTTTACAAAATTACGGTGTGGAATCAAGCAATAATCAAATTAGAAATTAAATTTTTTTAAATAATAATATTGGGGAAAGTGGAGTTGGCAGTGCTTTTTAAGTGTAAACCTTCATTGAAAAGTGATCAACTTCAAAAGTTTTGGTGTCCATTTTGTATGTATCTGAAGTCACCTTAAGGATCTAGGACTCATTTGCCATTCACTTGTCACATAATAGCATGATAAGTTGGGGTCTAAATTAGTTTACCCTGATGTGGACTGATTTCAATACACAATGGGCTTCAAATGAAGAAATTAAACGACTCATTTAAGTTTACGCAAGTTGCTTAACTTATGGTCTAGGCAAGATAGCCAGTTCTACGTTAGGCATTGAGTGTACCATACATTGGTTAACATTTGTCATATGCTGTCTGTGAAACATATAAACTGAAGACACTAATGTCTTTGTCACATGAAAAGTTTTCGTTGGAACCACTTTGTGAGCAATCCAGAAGTAAAGAATAGGACATTGAGTAAAACATACAAATCAATTAAAGTCATAAATCACCATCAGCTGACGTAGCCAGTACATTTGCCTAATTTCAAAGTGTTTTGTCGGTTGAAATAGGATGAAGCAGGTGAAACTATGACTTTACTTACTAGTTTCACTGAATTATGTAACAATGAATAGATCGATTTACATAGCATCCTCAACTTGACACTGACTGGAAATCAATCAAATTAGAATAAATGACCTCGTATGGTGTCATAATATTTTTATTTATCAATTTACGACTCTGAATAGTGTAATTTTATCTAATGAATTCCCTATAGTTTAGTTTGTAAGGATTAGTTATGTTTTACGAGTTGATCACGGACTGATATCAGTGGGTGCGTACTGCCGATGATTCCCAAACTAGGATGAAACAGCAGCTGTCCAGTACTCCCTGGTTTTCAGTGGTTCTCTAACTAATGAATTCTGAAAAATTAAACTGCTATGCATTATTGTCGCTAATATTTGCCCATTTTAAATCGCATATAGATTAAATAATATATATTTGAAGTGAAGTAGCATATTTAGTTCAATTTTTTAGATTTTCCCGTTGACTGATTGGACCGAAGTGCTCGGTTCCAGGTTGATTTGTCGGCTTCTTGTGCACATGCTTCGACGATGTTTGGGCATGTAATTAGAAGTTAGTTGGTGGAGTAGCATATTACGAAAACTCAATTCGGCATTGACCCGGTGATTCAAATATTTGAATGTTGTCTAGCAGTTGTTCTATCTGTATCAGAAGTTGACAGAAGTTATAATTCCTTGACTACTGGATTGTGCCCAAATCACTGAATGGTCTGTGAACGTATTGTACTTGTAAACCGATAGTTCGGGATTGAAATTTTAATGGGAGTTTAGGTGGACACTAATGAGGTGTCTAGGCTAGAGCGAAACAACATAACTCTCCAATCCAATAGTACCTGGCTTTAAGCTGTTTTCTTAGTGATGTCGCTTTGTAATGAAATCTACCTCCAAAATCAATATTTATTGTTTCTTCTATTTCTCAGTTGTTTATACCAAGATGAGTACACCGATAATTATTGCACTGTTTCAAAATCTTATTTCCAAGATCTTGAAAAAGAATTTCCGTTAACAACAACCTAATAATATACTGTTTCTTGTTAAATATAGTTTCCATACCTATTGCTATTTTGAAACCTCTGACGTTATATAATAAAATTATATCCTCTTGTTTCCAGTTAGAGTACAACTATTTTTTTTCCTTCACGTTCCCCAGTGTAAAATAGGGCTTCAAGCTTGTGGCTAGAAGTTTCTGTAGCAGTAGTGTTTATTTTACAGGATGGGATTGCTAGCCTTATGTCCAACATTTCCTCTTCATCAGCATTATTTCTGGCTTAGCGAGGTAAAGGAGTGAGTCAGGCGGGGATCGATTCCCGGACCATGTGCGTGGTCGGCGAGCGTCCTAACCGCTATGCCACCGACACGTAGAGTAAAACTATGCTTTAGAAATAATATCACTGATTGGCATTCAAAGGATTTTACTGTCAGGTGGGATAAAAGTATGATTTCTAAGTTTTACGTTTCTGGCGATCTAGATGTCTTCAAGGGGCATTTCTTCACAAACCAAAATCATTTACTGAATCACTGAATACCAGGAAGTGATAGGCAGCTGTTTCACTATGTATACATTGGAAATTTTCAGCGGTGTCCATCCATGAACCTACCAAAGATCGAGAACAAGACCTTCAAGATACGAGGTTTTCAGTTAGTGAATTGTAACCCAGTTGATTTAATTCACTACATAATGTCACCACTAACTAATCGCTTTGATGAGCATCTCCTTCACTAGTAGCAATTTCTGATTAGAACTTGAGGACACACACCGAGGATCAGCACTTATGAGTAGCAAAATTTATATTAAAATCTTAGGCTGATAGGGATTGTATTGATTACAAGATAGATTTCATTTAGAACTGTGATCTCAGTCATGCAAATCAAACAAAAACCGCAGGGCACCAGGCATAGTTATATTATACATACTTTCGCTAAAAACCTTTTCGTATTCAATAAATGCTTGAAACACTGTTAAGCTATAGTGACTCATCGTTAAAAGTCTTAACTATTTCTATGTTGTCTAGTCCACATAATTGACTGTGTCATGTTGGTTGCCAATCTAAGAAACTTACAAACCTAACTAAAGTAACACCTTAAAGCTGACTGTTAACTGACTTTATAATACATATTATATAGTGTTCTATGTTTTGACCATATTCGTTAGAGTAACATTTACTTCATGCTAAGTTAGCTTGACAACTATATGTAGGTTCACACACACATTGAACTCTGGGTGTCAACTTCTATAATCACTATCTGCCTGTTCACACTACACCTTAGATAGATGAAGTGTTCTGGCCGGTAGTGAGTCATCGTTTAAAATTCTAACACTTAATTATTGTTAACCCTTAACTTCGAATAATTCAAATTAGAAATTAAAATTTAGGTTACAATAGTATTTCAACCTTGAAGGCAGTTGATTCATCATAAATCGTTACATTAAAATTAGTTTTTTGAACAAGAGGAGTTAATGTCATACGATTATATTGATTAACTGACTGATTGAGTTTGATCATAGAAGTTTGCAGAGAAGTGTACTAGTTCAATCAACACATATCATTCAAAAGAGCTATACTCAGCAGAAATATACAACACAAAGAATAGTAACCTGGAGAAACACGAAGATTTAATGAACCTAAGAGATTACTAAGAGTGAATACATCTGCACTGCTGAGAATGATTTCAAGCTATATTATACCAACATTTAATTGAATTTCAGATTTTTCCCGTCGATTGATTGGACCGAAGTGCTCGGTCTCAGGTTTACATGTTGGCTTCTTGTGCAGATGCTTCGACGATATCCGGACATTTAGTTAGGATTCAATTGGTGGATGGTGACTAGCAGTGGAATACAGGATGCTCATTTCGCCCTATTTGGGACTCGTCAACTGGATGTTCCTGCATTCCTCAGTGAGTGATGATGTTCCCATCGAACAGGACGAAATGAGCATCCTGGATTCCACTGCTAGTCACCATCCACCAATTAACTTCTAATTACATCCCCAGACACCGTCGAAGCATCTGAACAAGGAGCCGACATGTCAATCTGATACCGAGCACTTCGGTCCAATCAATCGACGGGAAAATCTATAATTGAATTAAATACTAGTTTTATTTACGGCATGGATTACTATGAAATCAGTCACCACAGCGGTATCCAAAGTCAATTTAAAAGTTAACTCTAAAATGTTGACAAGACTTTCAATCCCCTAAACGTTATATTATTTAAAAAATAGTTAATTAACCAACATCGTGAATGTCAGAGAAAAGTTTGTGCACTGTGGAATACATCAAGTTAATTATGATGATTATATTTCAGTAGTTTACATGCAGTGATAAGTCTTTTGTTTTGCTAATATTTCGAGTAAAATTACTGCCTGTGATCACAGCAACTGCTGGGATCGTTTTTTCTTTTTGATCAAGGACAGTAATTTTGCTCGAAACGTTACTAAAGCAAAACAAAAAATATCATTAAAAGTTAATTGGTGGATGCCGACTACCAGTGGAATCCAGAATGCGCACTTCGGCCTATTTGGGACTCATCATCTGGATGTGCCTGCATTCCCCAGTGAGTGATGATATTCCCACCGAGGTTCGAACCCAGTGCCCATAGTTTCAACACCAGCCAAAGCGTTATCCACTAGACCACTTGGGCCACGAGAGCCACCTCTTGTACAACGGGTCATATTAATTTAATTGAATTAATTAATGGGTTCGAGCCTCGGTGGGAACATCACTCACTGGGAAATGCAGGTACATACAGCTAACGAGTCCCAAATAGGATGAAATGCGCATCCTGGATTCCACTGCTAGTCACCATCCACCAATTATATATTACTAACAGTCTGAAGCTATTATACATCTTAGCATCCCGATGATCCCAAGTAGGCGGTCTACACCTCCCTTTATGTGGCTCAACGACTTCATAGATTGATGCCAAGTTTTGATTTGACCACCCCTAACTCTTTTCCAACTTTTATAACATACCAAGTTGTGTAATTCCCCGGGACCTTTAATAGTTGCTTCGAATAACGATTAATTATGCATAGAAGTCGATAATTTTTTAATTAGTGAATAATTAGGTACTCAAAAAAAAAAATTAATATTAGGAAATAAAATGTGTACAAATATCGAAAAGGTGAATACAGTTTATGGAGTGTCTTCAACAAGGTATCATGAGTATAAAACTGTACATTGTATCTGAATGTATATGTATGTATATACAATGAATGTCCTGTGTGCATGTAAGAATTCTAATTATATACAATAAACTGTATGGCGCCAATCAAAGTGGAAAAAAAGTATTTTTAAAACAGTTAATCTAAGTATGGTCTCCACATAGGTGTAACAGAAGGATCACTAGTACAACAAGCAACTGAGTTACTATGAGTAACTACAATCGATGAACAAATATCACTAGTATTGGCTGCAGTTGAATCACTACTACTACTACTCAACGACAATGGAGTATCCTTCAACTTCTTTATCACATCAAAAACAGGCAATCTATTCAATTCAGGAATTGACAGAACAGACTGATAATTTTCTGATGACATTGAAGATGTTGTATTCGACGTTTCTTTGAACACAGAAGTATTCATCAATCGAACTGGACTAGTATCTTCATTCGATGTAAACATTTGTTTGATATTTGGTGTCATTTCGATTGATTGAATACTATCAAAACCACTGTCTCTAGAATAATTGATTGGTGAATTAAATACTTTAGTAGGCTGATGTATCGGTGTTGATGCATACTGCCTATTTCGTTCTTGTAAATGCATAAGATTATTTAATTGTACATTATTTAGTGGAGTTGACTGTATGACAGAGGATGATAATGGCGATGACAGCACCCAATGGGATGTATCACTATTCATACAGGGTGTAAGAATGACACTAGGAGGAGGTAGAGGAGCAGGAGTAGTAATAGGTATATACTTTGTGTATGATGAAACATTCCTCATAGTTAATTCTGGTATCTTTAGATTTTCTTTATCTTCACTATTAATATATTGTTGGTACTCAATACTATTTGATGGAGAGTATACTGATGATAGGGAAGAAGAAGGCGGGATAAATACTTTTGATGATGATGGTGATACATTCTGATATTGAGGATATTTATTCAATGACTTGTCTTCTTGTTGATCTAACTTCATTTTCTCAATGAATCTGACTGGATCATCTTTTATTATTTCAACAGATGATGTTGATGCCGCCAATGAGGATAACGTTGAACTGGATGATGTGCCATTCAAATTATCACGTAATTTTCTTAAACGTAATTGTAATTCTATGGAAAGGGAGGAGGAAAAGAAATAGTAAACGTAAAGAGGCAATTACGATAACATACATTAACAATAACGCTTATTGTAGGGTTGGTATGTTCACATATAGAAATAAGTAATATATTATTTGGATTCGGATTTTCAATACAAACGTCAAGTCAGTTCTTCTATACGGATCAGAAACTTGGCGGGTCACAAAGAATATTTCCAACAGCCTGTTGCAGACCTTTATCAACAACTGTCTTCACTCTATACTGAAGATCAGATGGCCGGCCGGAAAGAATCACCAACAAGAAACTATGGGAACAAACGAAACAAGAACCAATCGCTCAACAAATATGCAGGAGAAAGTGGAGATGGATTGGACACTCGCTGAGGAGGCCGCTGGGTGACATCGCACGTCAGGCCAACGCTCGAGTGGAACCCGAAAGGGAAGCGGCGAGTGGGACGTCCAAGGGTGACATGGAGGAGATCGTGTGAAGAGGAATTGAAACAGTATGGACTAACATGGATGCAGGTGAAAAGTACAGCAGAAGACAGAAACAAGTGGAGACGTGTAGTTGAAGCCCTATGTTCCACTAGGAACCCAAGGGAACAATAATAATTATTTGGATACTTAATGTTGAATTGTGAACTGGGAAATTTTTTTCTATGAGGTATTTACTTGTGCGGCTTAAGAGTGTTCATGCTATAGTCTGTGATAGTAAACGTTTCTTCACAGTCATATTATCTAGGCTTCAAACTTCAAAGTTACTCTATATGCCGCCTATTGCATCAGGGATACTTCGTTTTTACTTGTGTCCAAATGACGCTTATTCATACTAGGGTATTTTAGTTGTGTCTTATGTCATCACTCATCACAATTAGTTATAATCTTTCTAGGAGCATTACAATAATAACAATAAATAGATTTTTAGTGATACCTGAGAGTGAAGCTCAATATCAAAACGCAGATAGCGATTTGATTGAAAATCAACAACCTTCGAAGTTCTAGCCTCATGATCTATTGACTAGATTACAAGATCCAATAGCTAACTAGGCGATTTTGTCCGGATATAATGTCAGTAACCGACACCTGATTATCCATTTCAATAGAATAACAACAAATCTCTAAATTTTAATATATTGATTAGATAATGATCAATATTTGAGTAATTGAGTAGTTTCCAACATTTCCAAATAATAGTTTATAAAGGGGTACACGTTTTACGTTTTACTAAACTACGGATTTTATGCAACACAATTCATACAAAGTACCCAGATTAACCAGTAATACTTACGAAGCACATTGGAATGACCTAATTCAGGCAGTTGTCTTACTCATTTGAAGTGGAGCCAATCATCATACACTTAAAGATCAGCATTCACTATACTTTCTTAAAGAAACTAAAAATATTCAGATCACAATAATGTGATCGATCTGCTTTATACCATAAATTGGTAATCAAACAAGCAAAGAAGATAATTTTCCCAAGACTTGATTTGTAGGGATTTGATCTGTTTTTCAAGTTTGACCATGGATTAATATCAGTTAGAGAACCACTGGAAAACTTGGGAGTACCGGACAGCTGTTTCATCCTAGTTTGGGAATCATCGGCAGTACGCACCCACCAATGGGTTTCGAACCCAAAACCTTCCAGTCACAAGGCAAGCTCGTAGACGGAGTTCCCTGGAGTTCTAGTGAGAAGTCGTGACCAGTGAGGTCCATCCTATAGGGAGTGAGGACAAGCGCTAGCCGATAACATTGGTTAGTGGTCGCGCTAAAATCACTAATTCGTAGAAGTTAGAATTCATGGGCCATTGAGTCAGGTCCCAGTGGCTGAATGGTCTATGAGCTTGCCTTGTAACCGGAAGGTCCTGGGTTCGAACCCCACTGTGGTGGGTGCGTACTGCCGATGATTTACAAACTAGGATGAAACAGCTGTCTAGTACTCTGTGGTTTTCAGTAGTTCTCTAAATGAAATCAGTCCGTGCTCAAACTTGAGAAAGATGTGATGGTGTATACTACTGACTGTTATGACTACTTGTAAACCACTAATAAATCAAGTAGTAGCTAGACAGAATTCTAGTGGTTTGAACTGGTTTGGCTCTCTGAGTTGAGTCTTACCGCATGAACTGCACATATCAACCGTTACACATACTTGTGTTATTATTCTCTGATAACAGAAAGTCAGTACTTGTACAGCTGACTAAAAGACATAACATGTGATCCAGAGAAATGTTATTTTTGAAAAGTAATTCAACAATAAGTTGCAAATAATTTAGAAAAAAAAGGAAAAAATTGACTTACCAGGATCATCTTTGACAATATTTGCAATCCCTTTGAATACACTATGACATATATTCAGAATATCAGCCTTTTCAACTTTATGACATTCATTTGACTATAAGAAAAAGAAATTGAAAATCAAGGCTTTAAAACAGGCGAACTTTTAAATTGCTAAACATAAAACGCCATAGTATTTTTAACTCAATAGCTAATTACTAGTAATGACACAAATATACAGTTCGCAAGATTACAACTTAATAGAAAAGTGATGACCACGGCAACTCTGAGATTCCTGTACTCTTTTCTTTGCATGCATCTTAAGGCTTCTAAACTAAGCAGAAACAGGCTCTATTCACATTTTTTTTTACTTCACAATGTACAAGTAATAAATGATGAATTATTGAGAAATCGGAAATGTAAATAAAAGGGAGTTTTCACAGTCGCTGTGCTTAAAAACACATACAGAAGCAAATTTAACCAATTAAATTTCTAATTCTCAAAGTTCTACGTAGAACATACCGCTACAGGACTGGGAAATTGATGGTGGTAAGGTTTTGAAAGGGTTGAGGCGGTTTCTAGCCCACGCCCGACTTTTCCTCTTGTCCGGACTTACTAACGGCTAGTATACTAGGCGAGTTTTAGAAGTGTGCCTGCTTGAAATGGAATCCCGGCCTTTGTGTGTGTTTGGTTAGCACTCTACAAACACACACTTTTATGATACATAAATAGTAATGATTCAAGGTCAAGTCAAAGTCTGGATGGTGACAGCATTTGAACCAGATAACTCCACCAAATCACCCACCAATCTGGTTGCCAGCTGAGCTATGAGACACAGAGCTGGATCAAGGCTGCTGCTTTTTAATCCTACCGTCGCCTAGAGTTCTTTTTTATCTCACATTTACGTCAATAATAGTCTGCCGGATGACAAAACCTGTGTTTATGTATTCTTCTGTAGATAGTAAACATTTTTATCACAAAAATAAACATTTCACAATACACAAAAATGAATATCCAAAAATTTTTTAAAAGGGTTAATTATCAGCGTTTACGCATAATTTGAATAAAAAATATAATCATTCTGGCGTGTTATCAATGAGCTAAAAATAACTTTTTGGATAATATATCATAGTAATTCGTTTGTTCGTTAAACATTTCTGTGAAACGATGCACGTACACACCTACACCTACACACAGCATAGTGATCAAGATAAGCACCATTGTCAGTACCACACTCCTAGTGAAAGAAATCAGGCAGAAATGTGTGAATAAGCAATTACAGCCTCAACTGATTTTACTTCACTGAATTCAACTATGATGAAGAATAGTCATGATATTCAATGAACCATAAGGGAAAATGGTTGTGATTTTTTTCTCTCCAGTAGACACATCCCCAAAACACCAAAAAGATACAGAAGAATAAACTATGAGGACCAGTCACACACACACACACACACACACTACACAATAAATTAGTTGTTACAATGATGACAATCTTCGTCAGTTTGTCATCAAACAAAGAATATGCCTTTAGTTACCAAGATATTAATGGAATTTCTTCTTGCGGAAAAAACCAAAATGGATAAACAAAAAATATTGATTAAAAAAAGGGTTTGACAACAGACGTTAGTTTCAACTTTAAAAAAAGTGTTAGTGACATAATGTCAGTCAACATCAGCAGTAATAGGGCTAGCTGGACACAGGACACTGGTTATATAGTCTTACTGGCACAGTTAGTCTCAAATTTGAATAGTCCAGTGGTAACACCTCTGATTGCAACACTGGGTGATACAAGTTTAAACCTTCAAGGGGACATTAATTCCTTCGAGGTTACAGACACGCGCCTTGCAGACAAGCGTCCGCAAGTACGAAACCTAGGTCCAAGGCTTCCTATAAATTGTTTCCAACGATTCAACATTAATTCAGAATGCTTCGTGATGACGAGTAACGTAGCTTTATGACAGATGAAACTTCACTAGAAATACCTTAGTGACCAATCAATATACATCTAAATCCTTGTTCATTTATTGTACTATGTATATTTTGAATACACTAGTAACTAATATTCTATGCTAGAAAACTAAGTCATTATTATTATTATTTCCTTTAATTCCTAGAGGAACATAGGGTTTCAACTGCACGTCTCCATTGCGTTCGGTTCTCTGCTTAAGTTTTCACCTGGCTCCAGGTCTGCCCACATGCTTTCATCTCCTCTTCACATGACCACCTCCAAGTCATCTTTGCACTGACGACCAACTCGCCGCTTCCCTTTCGGGTTCTATTCGAGCGATGGCTTGTCTAGTGATGTCACTTGATGGTTTCCTCAGAGTATGGTCAATCCATCTCCATTTCTTCCTGCCTATTTGTTTCACAATAGGTTCCTGGTTGGTCATTAACTAACTCGAAATCAAAAGTAAGCTGGTCACTGGTTAAATTATGTAACAATATATTCATATTGGTAATTAACTGAATATGATTTTAATTAATAGCAATTTTGTGTAAAATAAATAAGACTTACATCAATTCCAATTAGATTCATCGCCAAATTATATAAGGCATTTATTTTATCTGAGATACATGCACGTCGTTTACGTTCCAAATTTTGCTTTCTTACCTGTCAGTAAACAATATAAAGTAAGAAATAAATATTTTAAAAAAACATTAAATACTTGAAACGAATAAAACATCTAACAGGTTGGTGAGTGAAGTTTCTGCATTAACAGTGCAAAGAACTAAAAAGTGACTTCTGATGTTAGGAATCAATAGGGAAGAAGTTATGTACTTAGATTTCGTTTTTATTGGCACTCATCAGTTGTGAAACTTAGGAAATTTATCTTCCCACTAGCATAAGAACCGACATCATTTTGTACAGAATTTGTGAAATGGACTACTAAGCTACACGTATATGCCCATTTCGACATCATACTGCTCATTTAATCATTTTCTCTCACTTCAATAATAACTTCACTGTAAATTTCGACACTAACTGAGATCAGTCTAAAGATCGTTGAAAAACTACTTTTTGATATCCTCCCTGATAAGGTATACTCACTAAACACTGAATAGAAGTACATCATTTATAACATGTTGAAATAACTAACTTATCTGAATGAATTTGACAAATATTATAGGAAAAAACATCAAATTTATTAGGTAGTTACTAATTTCAATCATAGGATAAAACTTACTCGACGTGTTTGTTCTCTAATTTCAGGTGGAATAGCTGATCGTCTACCTCTACGAGAGGTAGTTGAGAAATGAGGAATACGATTAGATAAATCATTCCCAGATGTACTGTTTGGTAATATTGGATATTTATTTATGCTGTAAATTGGTGGTACACGTGAGTTACTTCCAATAGAGTTATTAAAAGGTATCATAGCGATCAATACTGTGATCTCAAACCAAGTGCCATATTTTATATAATTAGAATATGCATGCTAGAAAATGGACCAATCATAGCTAAACTTGCTACAGATTAGTTGAAACTAGTTTATTATAACCAATGAGAAAATTCGACACGCGCGTATCCACCCACGTGATATAGAGTAAAAACTAAGTTGCCATTTGATTGGTCTATTATCAGTCACACTTTTGCCAAACAGCCATAAAGTTCGTTCGACATACATATTTAAAATAACGATGAGAACTTGTTATTTTAGCACACTACAAAACTTGGCAGCTGTGTTTGTGTGTCAGTCTCTATGCTTGGATAGTAGAAAAGCTTGATATAAGTATAAAACTTAGACACTTGGTAGAGTATAACTCCATTATGGATAAGATTTTATTTTGATAAATCACACAGTGTTATACAGTAATATTAACTGATGACAGAATTAGTTTTCACACACTGTTCTTTTTACTTAACATCTGTTCAAGAAATTCTGCGAATCTATCCATCTTGTACTTGAAATCATACAACAAATATTAGTTGTTAATCGGTGGATGGCGACTAGCAGTGGAATGCAGAATGCTCATTTCGTCCTATTTGAGACTCGTCCTCTGGATGTGCCTGCATTCCTCAGTGAGTGATGATGTTCCCACCGAACAGGACGAAATGCGCATCCTGGATTCCACTGCTAGTCACCATCCACCAATTAACTTCTAATTACATCCCCAGACATCGTCGAAGCATCTGCACAAGGAGCCGACATGTCAATCTGAGACCGAGCACTTTGGTTCAGTCAGTTGACGGGAAGATCTAAAATTCAATTAAATACTAGTTTTATTTACGGCATGGATTACTATGAAATCATTCACCACAGTGGTATCCAAAGTCAGTTTAAAAAATTAACTCTAAAATGTTCACAAGACTTTCAATCCCCTTAATGTTATATTATTTAAAAATTGTTAATTAACCAACATCGTGAATGCCAGTGAAAAGTTTGTGCACTATGGAGTACATCAAGTTAATTATGATGATTACATTTCAGTAGTTTACATGCAATGATAAGTCTTTTGCTTTGCAAATATTTCGAGTAAAATTACTGCCTGTGATCACAGCAACTGCTGGGATCGTTTTTTTCTTTTTGATCAAGGGCAGTAATTTTGCTCGAAACGTTACTAAAGCAAAACAAAAAATATCATTAAAAGTTAATTGGTGGATGCCGACTACCAGTGGAATCCAGGATGCGCACTTCGGCCTATTTGGGACTCATCATCTGGATGTGCCTGCATTCCCCAGTGAGTGAGGATGTTCCCACCGAGGTTCGAATCCAGTGCCCATAGTTTCAACACCAGTCAAAGCGTTATCCACTAGACCACTTGGGCCACGAGAGCCATCTCTTGTGCAATGGGTCATTTTTATTTAATTGAATTCATTAATGGGTTCGAGCGCCGGTGGGAACATCATCACTGACTGGGGAATGTAGGTACATCCATCTGACGAGTCCCAAATAGGACGAAATGAGCATCCTGGATTCCACTGCTAGTTACCATCCACCAATTAACTTCTAATTACATCCCCAGACATCGTCGGAGCATCTGGACAAGAAGCCGACATGTCAACCTGAGACTGAGCACCTCTGTTCAATCAATCGACGGGAAAACTTAAAAGTGAATTAAAAATTATCATTGTTTGTAAACTACAAACATGGTTGTATGTTCTAAGTGATGTGATACAGGTATTGATAGAATAATGTTTCAATTCAGAAAATAAAACACTTGTCAAATTCTACTTGACCAATGGTAACTCTCTACGCTGGGTGATTTAATTCTGAAGCTTTCACTGTCTTTCTCGACAACATGTTTAGCGTAGACTTCAATATGAAGTGAATTTATTTGAATTTTTGATGAATGATTTAATTATATCTCCTGACAATCTTTATTGTGACTGGTCTTTAATTCGCATCAATATTGATCGTTTTTATTGACTTGGAATTTGACTTTTTTGTCATGTGGCTTATTCCATATTAGTTGATAATATGTCTGATGATCGTTGATTCTTCCGAATATACCTGGTTTCCGAATTTTCCCGTGTTTCCAATGCTTAAAGTCTGCACATTTTCCCAATCAAATTGGTGCCCACAGTTATCTACACGGACTGATATGTGTGTGATATGTCTTGGCAACTATTTAATGATCTTGGATACGGAGCCAGTGGGGAAACCCACTTCGAGCAATACAGTGCTTATTATAATTCATGGAATTCATTTTGTAGATAATGTTGTTGGCCACACCAAGTAAAATACTAAATCGCATCATCCTGGAGAGAATAAAAGATGCACTGGATACAGAACTCCGCCCCACCGGAACAAGCTGGATTCAGGAAAGGCAAATCATGCGCTGATCAACTTGCAAATCTGCGCATCATCATAGAACAAAGCATAGAATGACAGTCACATCTCTACGACAACTTCATCGACTTCGAAAAGTTCTTCTACAGCATTGATCAAGAAGTAATTTGGAAACTACTTCAACACTATGGCTTGCAGTGCCCCAAATATTTACCATCCTCATTCAACAGCTGGCTACATGATAATGGCACGTGTCAGGTGACCCACAATGGAAATCTGAGTGAGGCGTTTGAAGTGAATGCAATATTAAAGCAAGACTGTCTATTATCAGCGATAATATTCGGGACTGTGGTGGAATGGATTATGTGCCAAACTGTAGGAAGCGAGGAGACAGGAATACTCTGGACCACGGATAAGAAGACTCTAGAAGATCTGGATTTCTCAGATGATAATGTCACACAAACTCGAAGACTTGCAAGCAGGCGAAAACCAATAAACTGGCAGAGGAGGCTAACAGCGAAGACAGGACTGCAGGTGAACATAGAGAAGACAAAGGTGATGAAGATAACCAACCAACATGAACAGCGACAACAACAACCAGTACCAATCATCATCAGTGGGAGAGATTTAACAGAGGTTACTTCCTTCACTTATCTAGGCAGCCAGCATCGTTTCAACCACAGGCAGTCGGAACGGATGAAGATGTCAATGCCAGTTAGGATCGGAAAGGCGAGATACGCCTTCATCAACCTGAAACCAGTTTGGAAATCTTCTGCACTGCACTCAGCATAAAGAACAAGATTCGGATTTTCAATACACATGAGAAGTCAGTCAGTTTTTTTATACAGATCAGAAACTTGCACTGTGTCACGAAAAGGATTTCCAACAGACTGTTGCAGACTTTATCAACAGCTGCCACCTTCGCTGACTCCATACTGAAGATCAAATGGCAGGCCAGAAAGAATTAGCAACAAGAAACTCTGTAGTGAAACAAACCAACCAAGAGTCCATTGCTCAACAAATATGTACATGAATGTGAAGATGGATCGGGCATACGTTGAGGAGACTGTCGAATGATATCGCGCACAATGCAGGCCATCGCTCGAGTGGAACCCGAATGGGAAGCGACGAATAGTTCATCCAAAGGTGACATGGGGAAGATCATGAGAGTTGTAGGAGATGAGAAATTATGGTCAATTGTGGACCCATCTGAAGAGGACAGCAGAAAATAGAGCAAAGTGAAGATGTGTTGTTGAAGCCCTATGTTTCACTCGGAACCCAAGAGAACAATAATAATATAATAAGACTAGAAAATTTCACTTTACATGTTTTTGGGTCTTCTCTGTTATAATCTACACATTACTTATGCAGAGAAATAGCATTCCCTTCTAGTTAGTCACTGGATGAAAAGAATACTTATCGAGATTGTAATTTTCACAGTGAATATAAGATATTTTCTGTCATTTATGTATATCTTATTTTTTTACTGTGATATTCCATGTGTATACCTAAAGGAAGAAAAGTTAAAAGATCTTTGTTGCATAGTAAATCAGTGCTAGGATTCATTTTCATATTTTCCCCATCCACCCCCCACACACACCCATCATTACCATTACCATCACCACCACCACAACAGTAGACGCTATATTGTCACCTGCATAGAAATATCATAAAACTACATTTAAATAATTTAACATATATTTATATCCTTTGTATTCCCACTAATTCATATGAGAGAATAGGTCAGTGCCACTGAAATTGCTTTCAACAGGTGTACATAAATGCAAATGACAATTAATTGACTAACATTTTAATCTGGTATCATTAATTCCATTAATGTGTATAAATTTATTCAAGTATTATTGTGATTTCTTTGCATTTCTGAAGGTATCATTAAATCTTGATGTCTACAACACATAGATAGACACATGTACAGATAGTAGGACAAACATATACACACATACAAAATATCAGGATATATAACACAAATGAAATTGAAGAGACTTACTGTCATTCAATAGGTGAAATGATGCATCATTCAACACTGTATCTATTCATCAATCAATCTATTGTTTCCAGTTGACTTTTACACTCGTCAAGATGATAAGAAATGAGTGCGTTCATGATATCTATTCACTTTACTTATAAGAGTAATAATAGTGATGATTGTGATTTTCTATCAATTTTTAAAAAAACCTTTCTGTGCGTGTGTCTGTCTATCTATCTATCTATCTTCCTCTTTTAGTCGACCAACGTGTCTATCATCGTTAAGATATATTCAAAAATGTACATTGACGCGCCAAAATATTGTTCAATGTTCAATTCTATTTATCTTGTAACAATTGGTGAATTATTGAACCATATAATGAATTCGACAAAAAAGATACACTTCATTTAAGTCTATCTAATCCTTTTTTTCTACTTTTTTATGTAGATTTATACATAAAAGCAAAACTCTGAATAGAAATGAGGGTGAAGTGTGGATTACTATGACATAATTAATCCAATTCATCAATGAGGTTGGTAGTTGATATGACAGGACAATCAATAACTCATTGTCCACTTAAATGAAGTAGACGAACAAAAGTTTTTTTCTAAAAAAAAATAGAACCAGCAAACAATAATCGCGAGATTTTATCCATAATTG